TAGAAAGGAAAAGAAGCTCAGAGTGAAGTTGAGATAAGCAGGGAAATTTTGAAAATGATGTGTGGAAATTTTCATATACTTTTTTAAAAAGCAAGAGGTGTGAAATGAACATTCACAGATTTTATACAATTCTCTTTTTGTGTTCTCTTGTGTAAAAAAGTAGAATAAGACTTGTTAAATGAATTGATTTTGAAAAAGAATTAAACTATATCCACAACTTTGCCCTCCCCACTAATAACCCTGTCAAGAAAAAAATTAAGTTAAAATTTTAAAAATATTTTTAAAAATTAAGTCTTCTTTTACTTGCTCTTGCTAAAGGCATGCTGGCTCTTTGTGATATATGCTCCTTTTTTTAGATGTTTACCATCTATTTGTTAAGTAATATGTTCTAGAATTTTTCCAGAAATCAAAGACAAACTCACTGTTCCATAGATGGTAGATTTCACATTCTTCAGATTTGTTGTGTTCAGATAAGAGTAAAATGCATTTGATGCATTTATGTGGAACTAGATGCTTCTTTGTTTAAGCCACAAAACATCATCTTCCACATCACTATAATCTCTCCTTTCTCAATATGACACTGAATCTATTTGCATCTTATCAAAGAGGTACTGGGTTTTTTCATCTATAAGCACTTCATAAGCAGGGAACAGTTTCTGATTAGTTAATATAAATTGCTTAAGGAAGTGATTTCAAAGGAATGTGGCTTCCAGGATAATTACAGAAGGGCAGAGAGATCTAGGAAGTAGGTAATGAAAATGGGAACACAGGGGGCCTTCACCATCTTGTAACATCCTGTCACGAAAGAATGGCACATTTCTATTTTGATAAAAATTGTTGCAACAGATCAATTCAGATGAAGGAGTCATCTCCAACCTTTTAAGTACCTCAGGAAAATAGCTTATGAAATTGCCACCAGTCTTTAGGAGAAATAATAACTGGCTGCCCTTAACTTTACATACCACTGAAGAAATCACCACTAGAAGCTGGGTTAGCAGCACATCCACTCAGAATGCACTTCCCTTGGTCCTCTCAATTTGTCCTTCTGCTGGGTTGTCCCAGTTACAATGCTAGGAGATGCTAGCACATTGAGCAGATGCAGGTATATCTCATTTGAGCTATAGATATTGCAGAGTGTGAGGCAGTTTTCAGAAGAAGAAATCAAAGTTATAGGTAGTCACAGAAAAAAAGCTCTCAGGCATTACTGATTAGAAAAATGCGAGTTACAGGAACTTTGAGATACCACCTCACACTGGTCAGATATTGTAACAAGACAGAAAAATGAAAATGACAAATTCTGGAAGGATGTGGGAAAAATTAGGACACTAATGCACTGTTGGTGGAGTTGTGAAGTGGTCCAACCATTCTGGAGAACAACTTGGAATTATGTTCAAATGGCTTTAGAATTGTACATGCCCTTTGACCAACAATACCAATACTAGATCTAGATCACAAAGAGATCACAGAAAAAGGTAAAAGACTGATTTGTACAAAAAATATTTATAGCAGTTCTTTTTGTGGTAGCAAAGAATTGGAAATGAAGGGGATGTCCATCAATATGGGAATGGTTGAACAAGTTGTGGCATATGATTGTGATGGAATACTTTTATTGTGCTATAAGAAATGACAAGCAGGTTGGTGTCAGAAACACCAGGGAAGATTTATATGAACTCATGCAAAGTGAAGGGAGCAGAACCAGAACAACATTGTATGTTGTAACAGCAATATTATACAATGATCACCTACTGTGATCAAGACAATGATCCAAGACAATTCCAAAAGACCTCTGATAAAAAAATGCTATCCATCTCCAGACAAAAAAACTAATGGAATCTTAATGCAGATCAAAGCATGGGGTTTTTTTTTACTTTCTTCATTTTCATTGGAGTTTTTGTCTCTTTTCTTTTGCAACATGGCTAATATGGAAATATGTTTTGCATGACTGTACATGTATAAGTAATATCAAATTGCTTCTCTTCTCAAGGAGGGGGGACAGGAAAAAAGGAAGAGAATTTGGAATTCAAATTTTTTTAATGAATGTTAAAAAATTTTTTACATGTAATTTGGAAATATTTAACAAATAAATAAAAAGATATTAGAAAAAAAGATATTGCAGAGTGTCTATTTCCCAGGTTCTCTAAACCTTAGAGGCAGGTAGGTGGAGCAGTAGATTGATAGAACACTGGGCTGGGAGTAAAGAAGAGCTGAGTTCAGATATGACCTGTGATATTTCCTAGTGGTGTGCCCCTGAGCAAGTCACTTAACCTCCTTCAGCCTCACTTTTCTCAACTTAAGATGGCAATAATAACAGCACTTACCTCCTCGGGTTCCTGTGAGAAAGTATTTGTAAACAAGGTACAGGAAGCTCAGAGTGCTTGGACAAAGAGATTCCAGGAGAGTCAGCTACCTACCATGATAGAACTTCTATGACAATTTTGACTGTGGATGTGAGGCTAGAAGCAGGCAACATTCTGAAAAAAAATGCCCCAAAGGGCCAGGAATCTACAGCAACCTGACCTGAGACACTCCAGAGGGCTGTGAAGACCACAGCATTCTAAATCCAAACAGTACCAGGAGCTTGAAATCTGCCAGCACTGTGAGCACAGACACACCAAAGGAGGTGGAATCAGTGACAGGAGCCCAGGCAATCAAGGTCAGGATTGTAGAGATGATCTCTCAGAATTGAAGCCTCCTCAGGGGGTCAATGGTTCTTGTTAATATTTCTTGATTGTTGCTTTCAAAACCCTCCCCCACTCAGACTCTGTTTTTAGGCACATAACAGAAAGAATAAGCCCTGCCCCCAACCGAACTGCTTGCCCTTAGCTTCCCGCCTTCTCTTGTCTCTGGAATAAGGGGGAAGGAGGTTAGGGACTGCTAAATCAGCATTAGGTTTACTAAATAAGGACATGTATGCTTGGATTGGCTATGACCTGTTTCCTTGCTCTTTGTCTTTGATTTTTGGAGCCTAGAATGTAAGCCCGCCTCCCAGCTAATGGGATAGGAAGATTTTTCAGCCCTTTTTGTCCTTGGTGCTAGGGAGAAGTTTCCATGCTTAGACTGTGAGCTCTGAAGCCCAACCAATGGGAAGAAGAGCCGGGGGGGGGGGGTTGCAGTTAGGATCTATATAATCTGCCGAGCTGAACACACACACACACACACACACACACACACACACACACACACACACACACACACACACACACCACCCCCACCACCCCCACCATCCCCACCACCCCCAGTCTCTTTGGTTGGCGCCATCTTGTGGGTGCTCTCAGAGAGCTCTTTCTTGAGAAAGCCAATAAATGAACTATTCTTTTTGCTAATATCTCTGAGTTAAAAGATTGAAAAAGATAGAAGAATATGTAAGGCATTTTTTTTAGGGGCAATTGAGGTTAAGTGACTTGCCTGGGGTCACACAGCTAGTAAGCGTTAAGTGTTTGGTCTGAGGTCGGATTTGAACTCAGGTACTCCTGACTTTAGGGCCGGTGCTCTATCCACTGCGCCACCTAGCTGCCCCAAGGCATTTATTTTTTTAAAATGACCTAGAGAATAGGTCAAGGAGAGATAGTTGAAATGTAAAATATGTGGAGGTTGGGGAAGTAAGAGCTGCCTCAATATACAGGTGTGGCTCACCGATGGCATGAATAGATATGACCTGATGCACCATCAGAGTTCCATCTGAGGGAAGGGTCAAGAAGATCCAAGAAATCCAAGGCTCAGGGGCAGCTAGGTGGCGCAGCAGATAGAGCACAGGCCCTGAAGTCAGGAGTACCTGAGTTCAAATTCAGCCTCAGACCAAACACTTGACATGTAGTAGCTGTGTGACCCTGGGCAAGTCACTTAACCCCAATAGCCTAAAAAAGAAGAAAAGAAAAAGAAATCCAAGGCTCAGCAATCTCTTCTCCATTCTCCATGCCTCAAATATCTCTGCTTCAGAGGTATGACAGAGTCACTCAGAACAAAATCCAGGATATCAACAATCACAGGGAAAAAAGTGTTCTAAATCACTAATAATAAGAGAAATTCAACATAAAACAATTCTGAGGTTTCACTTTACTCACATCAGATAGTTCAATTTGGCCAAATAATGAGAGTTGCTGACTGGAGTGGGGGGAGGACAATCATGCTAATATACTGTTAGTGGAGCTATGAATTGATCTGAGCATGCTGAAAAGCAATTTGGAACTATACTCAAAGTCATTGAATTATATATAAGCTTTTTTTTGCAAAATGCTTGACAAATCTTAAAGTACTCCATAAGTCCTAGCTATTATTATTCTGCATAAACACAGGTAAATATACATAAGTACATACATGTATGTATGTCTATGTGTATTCCCAAGAAGATAAAAAGAAAGCATCCAAAAGTAAACAATATTAATAGTAGCACCTTTTTTTGTAGCAAAGAACTAGAAACTAAGTTTGTGTCTATCAGTTGGAGGATGCCTGAACTTATTATGGTGAATGAACATAGCGGAATATTATTGTGCCATAAGAAGAATGAAAAGTGTGGATTCAGAGAATCTGCATGATACCTTTCTGGTGTAGCAAGAACTAATTCCATTCTCTTTATGTGACATAGAACCTTATTTTCTATATGGAACTGAACTCTCCATTTTCTCTGACTCTGACTCCTCCCTTCTCTGTGTGATACTAAACCCTGCAACTATTTGCATCTTAACAAGTCTTTCAACCACTACTGGTTGGACTTTCATCCATTTATTACCCAAGTTATTTAGAAAACCACAAGACTCAGGTCTGAACAAGAGAACAACAGTAGACCAGATTGGAAGGAGCGATTGCAAGACTGATCCTCAAGAATCTGAGCACTCTGGACAGATACAGGAGCCACAAGTCGGAGAGAGACAAAAGGTACTACCGATACTGTGGAAAAGCAGGTACCTGTGTGTGCTTACTTACCTCAGATCAGAGTAGCTGTAAAACAGTAGCCAGGCTACAGGTAACAGAGAGATTACAAGGGGGGAAATCCATCTGCAGACATGCTGACCTCACCCCAAATCGTTTTTTTGTTCATGGCCTTCAGTCAGTTCATTCTGGGGATTTGGGGGAATGGCTTTCTTGGGCTCATCAATTGCATCCACTGGATCAAGAGGAGCAAGATTTCCTTATCTGATTTCATCATTATGAATCTAGCCTTCTCCAGGATCTTTCTGCAATGTGTGGTCGTTTTTGATGTCATTAACTTTGTGGTCTTTCGGGATTTCTATTATGGAGTGACATTAAGTCAAATTCGTGAAACTAGCTGGACTCTTAGTAACTTTTTAAGCATCTGGCTGTCTACTTGTCTCAGTGTCTTCTACTGCCTGAAGATTGCCATTTTCTCCCATCATGCCTTCCTCTGGCTTAAGAGGAGGATTTCCCAGGTAATTGCCGGCATTCTGCTGGGCTGTGGGCTCTTCTTTTTCTTCAATACAGTGTTGCTGATCAGAAAACTCAATATATATTCTAGCGTTGTAAAAATGAAACTCATTGCAAACTATACTGAAAATATCAGAAGAAAGGAAAGAGAATTTTATACATTCCACTTTCTTGGTTTCCTGTCAGTACTGATACCATTCATTATATCCCTGTTCTCCTGTCTCTTACTCATCCTCTCCCTGAGGAGGCATACCAGGATGATGCAGCACCATGTCACTGCTCCCAGAGATGTGAGCACTAAGGCCCATGTGAGAGCCACCATTGTAATGTTTTCCTTCCTCTTACTCTTTGTCTTTCATTTTGTAATTCTCTTCATTAGGACAAGCATTTTCCTGAGATATACCTATGTGATAATGGTTATAGAGTTGGCTACCCCCATCTATCCCTCTGTGCACACATTTATCCTCATTCTGCAAAACAAAAACCTGAAGCAGGCATTCCTGAGGCTGCTGTGGTTGAAGAAGGGCTGCATAGAAAGGAGGGTAGGGGATCTTTTACCCACTAGTGCAAGGGAGGGGGGCAGGGCAGTGTAGGTTCTGCAAGTCTTTTAAAATTCTACTATTCTAAGTAGTTAGGTGGCAGAGAAGGGACAGCATTGGACCTAGAGTTAGGAAGTCAAATTCTGCCTGAGACACATATTAGCTGCATGACCTTGAGCAAGTCTTTAACCTCTCTTTGTCTCATTTTCCTCATCTATAAACTGTAGATAATAATACTTGCACCTAACTCACAGGGTTGTTGTGAGAATAAAATGAGAAAATATGTTTAAAGCTCTTTGGAAACCTTAAAGTACTACATAAATGCTGGCTACTATTATTATTGTTACCATTATTTACATCTCTCTCTCTCTCTCTCTCTCTCTCTCTCTCTCTCTCTCTCTCTCTCTCTCTCCATATATGTATATGTATATATATATATAATAAGGCCATAAATTTTTGTTTACAGAAAGTAACTTTTTTGATATTTTTAAGACATTCAATGAAATCTGAATTTTATTTCAAAAGGTTGTGTTTGGTAGCCAATCATTTCACTGTGTTAAATAATATGTGTGAATAACATATACATATAGCTATAGATTAAATATATAGATAGAAGACAAGGTTTTCCCTTTGAGAGCAGAGTTTATTGTGGAGTTCTTATATTTAGATATTATGATATCCAAATATAAGTGATAGGGTGACCAGTGATCAGGAACAAAGATAAATGTCTTTGAAATAGGCAGACATCAATAGTAATCACGTTCCTATATGTCAGATGTTTGGAAAGTTGCAGAGGGAGAATGGGAGGTTTGAAGAGGAGGTGTGTGGGGCGGAGGTTGAGGGGGTGAGAGGAGGCGAGGATAATAATAATTATACTATCTCTTATTTCTTATTTATGTTATGCTTTGGAAAGTGCCTTTATCAGATCAATGCTGGGAGGTAGATCGTAGAACTACGTTTATCCCAAGGTAATACCAGTTCACCAGGAAGTGGAGGCTAATATAGACCAGATACGATCCTGGAGGCTGATCCTAATAGAATCATTTTTTTTTCTCTTTGACTTGTTGCTTCGACCTGAAGTAGGAGGAAATTTGTCTAGCATGCTCACCATAAGCCTGCTTTCTAAGTCTCTCCATATGTGAATGAAAGTAATCCCCAACTTCTGTATATGTATTCAAGGAAGCAATGCCTTAAACCTTTATCTCTCCAGAGGAGAGGTGAACAGGGGGTGACTGCTGGGGCAACCTGATGACATTCCAGTGAATCTTCTTCCTCCCAGAGTCCTATATTGTAACCCATCTCCCATTGAAATTTAAAGTACTACATTGTAATTTAGAAAGCTCTTAGAAAAAAAATACATATACATACACACAGAGCTACTAAAGCTAACAATCCCTTTCCCTGGACCTGTAACATCTCAATAATTCGCTTACTACTCTCCAAACAAGATGCTGTGCAAAACATTTAGATAATACTCTTCTTTCTCCAAGAGCCATGCTGCTAAAATCAGATCCTCTTCTCCACAATAGGGCTGATCTCAGGGACTTCTGGGTCATGTGAACAACAAAATGGAGGACTAGACATTTTCTACTAACTCTCAGGGGAAAAAATGAGCCAGAGGTACAGCAATCACAGCTGAATTCACAGAAGAAATAAAGTAAGAGGCCCCGCAAAGTTAACAGACTTCTGAATTAATAGTGGTAAATGTTAACTCCCACCACCTTCATTCAACATCCCTCCACCACCAGTCTTCAATCTACTACACAGTGAACAATCCATATCAGTATAAACTGACCCATGGGCTTATGCTTTTCATTCCCCTCCTGCTACAGAGAGTCTACAGACACACTCGTATTCATTCCCTCATTCTCCTCTAGATGCCACTATTAACTCTCCACACTTCTTTTTCTATCATAACCCAATAGCCTTCCTACCCTTAAAGATCAATCCTCCCCCGACCAATGATGTTCACTACTTCATTCTTATATGGAATTCCTCTCTTGACTCTCTGGAATTCTTTATCCAACATGCCCCAACATGGGTAGTTTTCTTCCAACGCCCTGTTTAGCCTTATGAGTTGCCTTCCTCCATTAGAGTGAAGCTCCTTGAGAGCAGTTGCTTGTATTTATATTCTTGACACTTACCACAGTGCCTGGCAGCTCGTAAGCACTTAATAAAGGCTTGTTAACTTGTTGACTTGACCCTATGTTTCTTCCACTATCCCACCGCAACAAGCAGTAGACTTTGACTCTAACTGTGTGAAGTGGAGGAGAAGGAATAGGAAAAGACAGAGGTGAGCTTCCTTCTACCTGGGGCAGATCTTAGGTAAAAAAAACCCAAGGCTACAAAAACCACCTCACCCCCTCCAACACCATAAAAAGATGAAGATGATCAATAAGGACAGTCAGAGAATGAAAGAATGGGAAGAACTGGGGCAAAGGGCCAGAATAAATGGCCTATATTGGGCCTGAAAGAAAAAGAACTAGAATTCAGCTGAGAGCAGTATTCACTTCCCAAAAACGTGGAGCACGCTTAGAGGTTGATGAAAAGGGAAAGACTCAAAAACTGAGTGAGAAAATAATATAAGGAAACAAAACCTAAAACTGCCCAAAAGCTCAAGAAAGAAAATTCAGTAAAAAGCCTAGAATATAAGGAGACAAATCAACAGAGAGGATATTAAAGTTAGAAGGAAACATGAATATTAAAACATCTAAAAGATTACAACCTTCTCAAAATAAATGATACTAGAAAAAGAAAATGGAGCCAATGTTTGATGAAACAGAGAATACTAAGAGAACATAGAACAAAAGCAAAATATTCCAGAATAATTCAAAAAAGAAATTAAAAGGTTAAGAGAAGTTAGAAGGGAATATATGCGAGAATGTATCACCTACATAGCAAAAATACTTAGCAGAATAGGACAACTTAATCCCCAAGGATAGTGAAAGAGAAAAACAGATTTGGAATATAAGTTATTGTTTGTCCTTCATTCTCAAAAAGGACCATGGCATCAGGAAGGTGATGCAACAACTTGCAAGCAAATTGGATTTAAGTGAAGGAATAGAAGTACACTAAAGCAAAGGACCGTCTAGAAGAAGAGGTACAAGAGGAAATAATGCTAACAGAACTCATAATCTCTTTTATAAGCAAACATCATTGATCTCAAAGACAAAATGCACAAGGACAATTTAAAGATCATATGTCTCCAAAAAAAAACATGGCAAAAAGGAAAATCAGAATACCATACTGCCAAAAGCAACACACACAAAAAAAACCCCTCAGAACTTCTGTACACAGAAAACAAAAAGATTAATCCAAAAAGTCCATATGTTACATCTAAAAAAAAATGCTATTCGTCAAATTCTGAGACACATAGTAATTAACTTTAATAATTCAAATAGCAAAAAAAACAAATTTTTCGGGTGGCTAGGGGAAATACCTTCAAATATAAATGAAAGGAAATTTAAATATCACATGTCTATTCTGCATCTACTAGAAACTTAAGAAGGGAAGGTAATAACATATTCCTAAAAGCAGAGGACATGATGTAATCAAAATGACATATCCTGCAAACCTGAGCCCAATTTTCAATGAAAAAAAAGATAGATATTCAATAAAATAAAAAAGGCATTTGTAGCTTTCCTAAAAAACATGTATGGTTTGATCCTTAAATTCTGAAACTTCAGCTAAGTAAGCATACACATCTTCTGCCATGTGCTTCTGGAGGAAATCTCTTATTTCCCTGACTGCTGCCATCTCTTGAGCAGGGAAACCTGTTCCCAGGAATTTGGGTTTATGATCTGTGCTCAGCAGTTAAGAGCAAAAACAAGAAATCACCATCTATACCTACTCCCAAAGCAACTATTCTAGTTCCTCAGTATAGGAAATTGTACATAAGCACAGGTCTCTCTTTCCTCCCTCCATACACACCCATCCTAACCCTAAGTCCACTCTGCTACCTGATGATTTCTTCCTTTAAAGACCAAGAGAGCAAGCTTTCTATCTGTCCGCTTTTATTGACTGCAGAGGAGAGCAGCAACTCTGACAGGTGTCCATCCTCCTGAGTCTTGCCCAGCAATATAAGAGGCAACACTGGACATACCTACACTCCAAGGAGAAGTGTTAGTCAAGCGTTTCCAAACAAAAGCTGACATCCTGTAAGACTGCGTCAGGATGTCTGGGGAATTCATCATATTGGTTAGGGGCTCTCTGATCAGCAACACTTACATTGAATGGCTAATAATAATATATTGAAGACATTTAAATGTGAGCAGCTGAGCAGCATTATTCAGATGACTTAGAAGGGCTTGCTAGAACACCTAGGGAAAGGAAGAGGGAGAGTGCCTTACACTCCATCTGGCACTGTGATGGACCAGTAAGGAAGAGATGTATAGCTCCTGCTACACGTTTAATTTATATTACACTTATTACTGTATATCTCGTAATTCATCTTCCCCCTATCAAAAAAAAAAATAAATTGTTTGATTGTGTCATCAGACAGTAATAGTAAGCCACCTATCCAGATAAAGGTTCAGATCGAAGACCCCCTGGGCAGGAAAAATAACCTCCCCTTGCTAGATTTTGCTAGTTTATACATATAAATTATGCTTATTGTCAAAAAGAAAAAAGAAATTGCCATAAAGGTAATAAATTTGGAACCAATGGTTTTTCATGATGGAAATATGTACATGTACCTAAAATCTTTTGCCATGAACAGGTCAGAGCGGTGAGAGGTAGGGGAAGTGTGTGAAGGAAACTAAGAAGCTGGAGGCATAATGGTATTACTAAAAGAGTTCTGTTTGAGGAATCAGAAAGCCTGCCTTCATGTCCTGGCTCTCCTACAACTAGTTGTATAACTTTGGTTTGGGATTTTTGTTTTGCTTTAAAAAAAAAATCTTTACCAAGTCAGATCAGGAAGGAAACAAGTATTTGTTAAACTATTATCTCAATTTATCTTCACAATAACACTGTGCTATTATTATTCCCATCTTACAGTTGAGAAAACTGAGGCCTACAGAGGTAAAGTGACTTGGCCAGGATGACATAGCTAGTAA